GTCTGCTGATGCTTTCTTTTTGTATTTTGTGTGTGGTGTTACTTTACAATGCTTTAATGTGTACTGTTTTTGTAGTGTGTGAAGTAGCTGTAACTTAGCAATTAGTTTGAAGAAGATACAGACCAGTGATGGCGAACCTTTTGAGCTCAGCGTGTCAGCATTTTGAAAAACCCTAACTTTGGTGCGGTGTCACGTATAGAATTTTTTTTGATATGTGCAACCATAGTAAAACAAAGACTTATATTTTTTATATTTACGTTATATACTTAAATGCCATTTAACAAAGAAAAATCAACAAAAAAAAATGAGTTCGTGTGTCACCTCTGACACGCGTGTCATAGGTTCGCCATCACTGATATAGACTATACTTGACAACGGTCAATCTTCAGCAAACAATCTTTTTGCCTTTGTTTTAATGGGGCCTCTGATGCTGCCCCTCCTCCCCCGTTTTGTTTTATGTGGCAATTAACAATTAAAAATTAACTTCTGATACTGAATTTGGTCCAAGATGACTTTGGTAACCTTATATGTGGATGGATTTAAATAAGATTGATTTAAATAATCAGTTTTGTCTGTTTTTTTTTTAGGACTTTAGTATTTAAATATTAAAGATGTCTTCTTAAGACTATAGAATCCTTTTGCTCTTGAAAATGCAAAGTATACCATCAGTTTTATATAGACTTTCTAGGAGCAGGAGTGGAACATTCTTAGAGCAAAAGTTTGGTTTTAGAATATGTCTGATAAGTAAGGGCAGTCCATTCTCTAAAAAGTTATCAGCTTTCCCAAATTTGAACATTTGTGATAGCTGTATTTGGAAAGGAAGTCAGATTTTTTAATCTTATGGATTTAATGGTGCTAAATTAACAAACATTTTAAAAATGTATTTTGTAGAATCCAACGATTAGGAGAAACTTTGCAAAGCCATATACAGGAATAGTCAAACGTCATGTGTTAGTTTCATAATGTGCATTTCCCAAGTGAATAGAATTTATTTCACCAAAAAGATTTTTTGCACATTTCACAATACTTACAGAAATATAATTTTATCATTGGCGGGAAAAACAGCTCACCTCCCAATGATACATTTCACATTTACTAGTACACTAGTACAATTCCTTAATTATTTTGGGGGATACCAAAGAATAATCTGTCTATAGAATATAATTGCTTATTCTTAATCTAGGAATTAATACATATATTAAAGTTTATTGAACTTTGAAGAACTTCTCAATAAATTAGTATTTTTAATAAAATTGTACTCTTTGCAAGTGGATTTGTCTCAGCACAAAGGCAGTTAAAAACATAAAATTATGAAAAAATACCAAAAATAAAGATTAGTTATTATTACCTTAAAAATCGTATTAATTTCCATTAGTATTAAATCCAACACCATTTATCTGTAGTATATAACTAAAATTTTGGAAGTTTTGCACACAAATCAAGAGACTTCTTTTAAAATGCCTTGTCTGGCCTGTGTTGCTCAGTAGTTGAGCATCAACCCATGAACTAGAAGATCACAGTTCCATTCCCAGTCAGGGCACATGCCCAGATTTCCTACTCGATCTCCAGTAGGGGGCATGCAGGAGGCAACTGATAAATGATTCTCTCTTATCATTGATGTTTCCATCCCACTATCCCTCTTCCTTTTTCTCTCTGAAATCAATTTAAAAAAAACATTAAAAAATGCCTTTGTGTAAAAATAGGTCCTATGTCCTCTTACTTATTATTACTAGTATTAGAGGCCCGGTATATGCAACTTGTGCATGGGAGGAGGTCCCTCAGCCCGGCCTACACCCTTTCGCAATCCGGGACCCCTGGGGGGATGTTGGCAGTTGGACATCCCTCTCGCAATCCAGGACAGCTGGCTCCTAACCACTCTGCTTGCCTGCCTGATCACCCCTAACTGCTCGCCTGCATGCCTGATCGCCCCTAACCACTTTGCCTGCCTGCCTGATCCCCCCTAATCACCT